GTAGGCCAAGCAAGCATACCTGTGCTTTCTTGCCATAGTAAGGGAAGTAGTGTAGGCTGAAGGTGCCGTTGGGTGGGTAGTACTCGACCTGCAGGGGTGGCGTGCCCTTGTCCTCCTGAGGAAGGAGAAACCAATGCATAAATAAGTTAGAGTCTTAACCAGCATGGGTGATGCAAGTGATGATGATGTAAATGATTTATTGAAAAGTATTCAAAAACTATCACATGGGGAAACGACAGCATCGTCAACAAATGGTGCTGGCAAAACTGTACTGCTACCTGCAGAAAGCTGAAGCAGGATTCACAACTCAACAAAAATCAACTCAAGGCGGATTAGAGACCTTGGGGTAAAGCCCAAAACCATAAAAATAAGAGACAGAGTGGGACCAAGCTCAGACGGTGTAGATCATGGTACAAAAAAGGCTTTCAGATACAGCCAGAAATACACAATCAGGGTAGGATAAAATTGATGAATGAGACCTGCTAAAGATTAAATCCCTGTGTGCATCAAAAACTTTTTCCATCAGGGTGAAAACCTACTCACTGGGAAAAACATCTGGCAAATTTCAGACAAAAGTCTCATCAGAAGTTTACAGAATCCTACAGGGCCTCCACATAAAAAGACTGACAACACAATTACAAAATGGGCAAAAGAGGAACTTTTCAAAAAAGAAGACAGATGACCAACAGGCACTTGAAGAAATGCTTAAAATCATTGACAATAGATGCAAATTAAAGTCACAATGAGATAATCATCTCAGTAGCAGTGACAAAGTTTAACAAGGGCACCAAGCAATAAATGTTGGATAGGATGTGGAGAGATAGGAACTCTCATACACTGTTGGTAGGATTGTAAAATGGTACCACCGCCACTCTGGAAGGCAGCTTGGTGTCTCTTCAAAAAAGCTAAACTTAGAAATTCCATATGACCCTGCTATTCCACTGCTTGGAATATACCCTGAGAAAATGAGAACTGAGATATTAATGGAGATTTGTACACCAGTGTTTATAGCTCCATTTTTCAAAATTGCAAGAACATGGAAAAGCCCAAATGTCCACCCACAACCTAATGGATTGAGAAAATTGTGGTACATTCACACAGTGGAATACAATGCATCAGTCAAGGAGCAATGGCTTAGAAAATTACTGTATAATGGGAGGGACTGGGGAGCATTATGCTGAGTGAACTCAGTCTCTTAAGAACAAATACTGTGCCAGGCCATTATTATAGAAATAGGTAACTGGTAAAATGTGTATGAGGACCCAGGGAGGTGAGGGTAGGCAGAGGGGAAATCAGATGGTCCCACAATTTGGTGGGTGGAGGGTGGGGGTGGCTAAAGGAAATGGGAAAGATCCGTTGGGGATCTGGAAAGAGGCTAATGGGGATAGTTCAATGTTGATTGATTTTATAAAATACAATGAATGGAAAGATTGTATTAAACAATGTGAGTGAAGGATATTGTAAAACAATATATACAAACTTTATAAGCAAACCAGTTTTTTATTTATAAAAAAAAATCAAGTTACTTCATCAGTATTGAGGTCCTATTTAAAAAGTAGTTTATAAATATGCAGAGCATTTTAGGTAACACATAAAAAAGCTTCCATGTTTTTACCATTCTAAAGTGTTACGGAAATACAGATGTATTTAATAAAGCTCAATATTTGCTTGCTTGCTTACCTGCACATGGAAATGAAGTCATTAGAGCTGGAATGTATTGGTTTACCAAAACTGGTTTTAAAGGTTTAAGTTACTTTCTGGGAGTTAATAAACATGTTTTTCTGAGAACTATTTACTTTTTTATTCAAGTTAACAGATTATCCAATGTATCATTTAGGCTTAAAGACTAGATAGAATGTACTTTCATGTCTGTCAAAATCTGAAGCCAGTTTATCCATGTGTGGGCAAAATAAGAGAAGAATAGTAAGAATTAGAATATAACTAGAATATATGAATGAGATATGTTTCTATGCAGTACCCAAGTATTGCATTATAAATTCACACTGGTGGTGTTAGCAGCTGAACTTCTGATTTCTTTTACAGTGCTCAGAAGAAACTTTTTCTATTCAAATGATATTTTATGAAAACAATTTAAATTTAAAAAAACGTATTCTAAGGCTAGTTTTGAAAATAAAAGGCCCATCCTTCTCCCACAGAGAAGCAAGTAGCCTTGAACCATGTGCCTCTGGATTGCAGCACAGCTTCTTGCCAGTAGGCCACAGCTCCCTGTAAGTTGTATAATTGTGAGATTCACTGCTACAGAAATGAGCAAAATCCCCAAGTCATTATAGAAACAAGAATTAGGTACAAGAAGGCTTTCGCTTACCAGTAGCGTACAGTCCACTCTGGGAATTGTAGTGTTGCCAGGGAGAAAGTTGACAATCTAGAAGAGGAAAAGCTTTTATATTCAGACATAATGAACAATGGAGTACGTGTTACTGTTGTGGACATGCATGCAGTGGGTCCTGCAGTGAAAGGGGAAGAAAATCAAGTTGGCTGTGTATTGGGACCTCAGGTTTGGCACTTCCCAAGGTGTCTTTCTGGTTGGAAGAGGTCAATATCACCTCTCATCTGACTAATGTTTCCTGTTAAATCCCAAAGAGTAGAAAACAGTGCCATTGAGTAGATTCCGACTCTTGGTGGCCTTCTGAGGCAATATATCTTGGAGGAGATGGATCCTATTTCTCCCTTGGAAATGCTAGTGGATTCAAACTGCCAACCTTCTGATTGTCGTCCCAAAACATTACACCATGAGGACTTCTTCCTAAGAACCATAAGTGACTAATAATTGAAGACAGAACCAACCTCTCTGGACTCTGCTTTGACAAAGATACGGGTTTGGCACTGGCTACCTCAGCTAACTGGGACCCCTGAACAGAACCCAAGGTCAGCCTGGTCCATGACACTGGGTCTCCACCAACACTACAGATTTCTAAACTTGGCCCTCTGTAATGTGTTCAAATACACCATGAAGTCTGATCATTAATAGATACCAAGAAATGTCATTCTTCCTGTTTCATTTTTCACCTTTATTATGAGCTCTTTATAGAAACATCTTTCTCCTCATGTGGCCTACTTGCAGTCTTCTAACCATGCATTGAGGGTTTTCAAGCCCCTTTAACTCCCCTTCTCTCTTGAAACCTCAGCCCTTCATTTCTGCTAGTCATCAAAGGCATAGTACAGGCCACCTGCTTTACCGATAAATCTCCATTTCTTCAACATTCTCCCCGTGGGTGCTAAAACCAGGCGATGTGGAATGCACTCTCAGTGGTGGTAACTGCATGATCACAGTACCATATTTTCCCACCTATATGGTACCAGTGGTGAGACTGGACCAATTTGCAGGATCTGGATGGATGGTGAAGAGATTGAGATTGTACA